CTAGCTATGTGGCTTATAATAGATGCAAGGAATAAATTTATTTCTCCCTCTTTAGGAAGAAATGGGAAATTTCCTGAGAAATCTTCTCATGGGAATATGTCATCAAGAGGACCAGCATTCTTCCCAGTATCTCTGATATTTGTTTTCTTAATGCATGAGATTTAACAACCAAAACTCTTGCCACCAGTGGTGTAGCTATCCCACTCAGGGGAGGAGACAGATAGGCTCTCATTTGAACCACTGGAACTTTGTGTTTTCTCTCTGGTTCACTGCTAAGTGTCAAAGAAAATGCCTGTTACCTATGTTTTGCATATTAATGCAGGGAGGAAATTTCCACTATGCAGGAGTAACTGAGTGGGAAAATTTGTGGACTATCTTCCCTAGGGAAGGTGGGAGAGACTAGGGAGGAAACTGGCTAAGAGTGGTTCAGTCCTTCTCTCTTTTTCAGAGGAACATGTGCTCAGAATGCAGCCATTCTCCACTCACTCATGTGACATACTTTCCAAGTGGACAGATGTTTTGTCTTTCATGCCTGGTTCCCCGCTCCACTTCCTTTTGCCTGGTGTCAACCCCCAGAGGTTGACTTGGGAGGAATACATGAAGCAGTCTTTTTTGCTCTGAGTGGATATGGCCAATGGGGGGGTCCTAGTAGATGACTGAATGAAGGCAGAATGTTGGGTTCAACTTGTTTTTGCTCTATCTATCTCCCTGTAGAATGGCTCATCTTCTTCCAAGGTGACCCTCTCTATATGACTCTTTCCTTCTGAGTTTCATAACCGCTTGTGCCCAGAGATAGAAATAGCTCTGATATGACCAGCACATGTTTTTTTGGCATTCCTATGCTCTGCACATACACTTCTAAATAGTTTCTCTTTATCTGAAGGTTTTTATTTTTTTTTTTAGATTTTATTTATTTATTCATGAGAGACACACAGAGAGAGGAAGAGACACAGCCAGAGGGAGAAGCAGGCTCCTTGCAAGAAGCCTGAGATGGGACTTGATTCCAGGATGCCGAGATTATGACCTTAGCCAAAGGCAGAGGCTCAACCACTGACCCATCCAAGTGTCCCAAATAGTTTCTTTATTTGACTTTACTTTCCTCCTGAGATCATGGCTCCCACCTAAAGCAGATATTTGGAGAAGGTAGGTTTTACTCAAAAAATATTAGAAGCCTGATGTTGACTCTAATTTCAATATTCATTCTCTAATTTAATGATGTTCATAATGAAGTTGATAATAGCTCTCCATTTCTCTGATGCTGGTGTTTAATTTTAGAGTTCATTCACAACTCAAAGGGAGTAAAGAGATATATTATTTATATGTCTCTATAAAACTCGAATGTATTGGTGCATGGCCCGTATCCTAGACAAGTGGAGAAATCTTGGCATTTGAGGCACAAAAGAATATGTAGGGTATGAGGTTTCTGCTGTGGCCAGCGCAGAGGCTTTTATTTTCCAGTAAGTAAGATTCAGTCTTCAGTACATTAGTTAATATGATCTTGGCTATTTTTCTTCCTTTGGCAGATTGCAGCAGCTTATATTGAGCTTGTACAGCTGTACGTATTTTTTTAACTGGCATGATCTTCAGTAAGACACCTGGCCTTAGTATGTAGACTACTGTGGTTAACCTTGAACTACACAGAGATATATTTGGCCAAGGGAAGTTTTAGGTCACAGTGAAATCTCGACTCAAAACAGGCAGTGCTTCATTACACAAAGCATCTGGGCAGTGGAAGGCATGATACATTTTCTTCCCTCTCTGTGGGATGCATCTCAGTTCTGCTGTCCATTTCTCTAAAGATCAAAAGAGAGTCTTCAGTGTGGAATACTGAATATTATTAGAACCCTGAATATTATTAGGAACTGGCCTGATATTGCTAAGTGATAGGCCTTAGAAGTTGTTTGACATGGATTTCTCAATCCTCCTTAGCATTTCCTAAAGGTGAAAGATGGGATTCTGGGCTTCTTTAGTCATGTGACCCATCCTCAGGCTGACTGTCCCTTTCCCCTCCACTCTCACACAACCCATGGTCTCACGTTTACTCTCATTTATTAGCAATAGAGTTTAAGGACCACAGTTTGGGACTTTGGACATTCTGGCTGTAGATTTGCTCACAACGCGAATGAACACATTAGAAGGAATAGAAACTTACTAAAAAAAAAATCCTTTTTCTTGGGCTAAGAGTACCATGAATATATCATTAAGCCAAGGCCAAAAATGTACAGTAGTTCCCTTTTACCCATAGTTTCACTTTCTGGTTTCAGCTACCAGAGGTCAACCATAATCTGCAAACAGATGATCCTTCTTCTGACGTATTGTTAGAAGGGCAATAGTAGCCCAATGCTACATTGCAATGCCTATGTCATTCACCTCACTTCGTCACCTCACATAGGCATTTTAACATCTCGCATCATCACAAGAAGGGTCAGTTATAGAACAACAAGATATTTTGAGAGAGGGAGAGAAAGAGAAAGACCAGGTTCACAAAACTCATATTACAGTAGATTGTTATAATTGTTCTATGTTACTATTATTATTAATCTTTTAGCATGCCTCATAAGAAATTAAGCTTTATCGTAGGTATATATGTACTCATAAAAAATGTTATTTATGGGGTTCAATACTATCCAGGGTTTCACACAGCCACTGGAGTCTTGGAATGTATCTCCTGTGGATAAGAGGGAAACACAGTAACCTACAAAGGCTTGAGGCTGCAGGAATCTTCTTGCTCACAGAAGATGGAAGATTTGAATGGTTTAGAACAATATGCTTTGGTTTATTGTCAGAATAAGAGAAAGGGAAAAATAAAGAATTACTGCAAGGAAAAAGATTTATTTTATTTATTTAAGCACATGTTATAATGTTTTATTTATTAAGCACATACCATGCCAGGGCTCTGGACTGATCATGGCAATGAGAGGGTTCCTGTCCTCATAAGCTTAATATTCGACTAAAAAAGACAAATAACTCATACATACTAAAGTAAGTTTAAATGCTTATATACTACAATATCTGATACACTTTATAAGGAAAAATCAAGCAAGAAAAGTTTTGTGCTATTTTAGCACAAGATGATATATTCACTTTAAAAAGACCCCTCTGAGACAGTGGTATTTGAAAAGATATGGATGAAATACAAATTCATTTGAATGAAATGAGGCAGCCAGGCACACAAATACCATTAGGAACATAATTCCTGTGAAAGCAACTGTGAGTGCAAAGGTCCTGAGGCAAGAATACATTTGGTTTGACCAAGTTACAGAAAAAGGCAGCTTGAAACAGGCAATGAATCTGTGGAGTTTTAGCAGATAAAGCTCAAGCTTGACAGCCAAATAAGGCTTTTCTACATAGTCTAATCCCCATATCTGCCTGTCGAGGTCTGCTGCTGCTGTGTGTGTGTGGGGGGGAGATGCTGAGTCCTGCCTCTTCAGGCAGTCCTGTTATTGATCAGTCCCGTGACTGTGTTCACAGTCACAAAGTAAACTTCTGTAAGCCAGAAGGGTCAAAAATGTCAAAGACCCACTCTCACTAAAGTATCCCAAATATTCTATCTTGTTTCAACCTGAAAATGTAATCTCTTAGTTTGTCATTACAGTCTCCAGATGATACTCCCGTATTTCCCCCAAATGTCCTGGTCTTCGCACTAATGGGAAGGAATAATTATAACTCATATCCTCCTCTTCCTTTCTAACTTCTGATCCAATGGAAAACAAATACTGAAGTCTTAGAAGTGAAGAGCAACCTATGTGCTTTGTGGCTGATGAAGCTAAATTGGAGAGAAATCCACTTGACCTGTGGCTACTATCAGTAGGGTGATAAATAAATAAAATTGCTGAGCAGTTTTCCTAACACACTCCTTGAAGTAAATTTACCAGCCCATAGCTGTAGGCCAGTCTCCTGGTGCCGCAAAGCCATACCGCTAGGGTTACATGGAGAAATAGGAAATGTGAGTGTTCTAATCACAGCCCCTTCCTTCCAGAGGTAGAATCCAGAAGAAGCAGAGCCTCTCCCCAACTCCCAGATCTCATTGTGTAAGCTCCTTCTTTATTGGGAAGAAGGGAGTGAACAAGAGGTTAAGGAGGACAAGAAATTGTTCCCTCAGAATTCTTCTAAGAAAATCTAGGGATATGGAAGCTGAGCCCCCATTAATAACTATGCACTATCTTTCAGAAACCCAGAAAAGAATTTGGGAGATATGAAGCTCCTCCTCCCCAGAATGATGTTCATCTCAGTTGCATTTAGATCTCAAAGGGAAGGTACCTCAGGTGGTATCCATTTGGAAAGTCATGTTTCCTTTTTAAGGAACTCTAACACTGGTTAGCTTATGTCAGATTGAATCAAATTAACTTGGACAATTAAAATTATAAATCCAAATTAGTGTTAGGACCATTACATCCCTAACCTACTTCATTATTGCTGGATATCTGTATTTCTCTCAAAAGAAGGCAGGCCGTCATTGTAGATTACAGTAGTCTACCGTAAGCAATAACATCTAATGGACTCATGAAGCACTTATGTGAAAGTAATTGTTCAATAAAATGATAGCTGAATACCAGAGGATCCATACCCTACCCTCAAATGGCCCTATTTTTATTATTAACACTTATTACCACAGGTTTTAAACAGCAGGCTATAATCTGTCACAGGAAGATAAAGCATCACAGCCTCTGCCAAGTGCAAAAATTTATATAAGATGCCTAGACCTAAATGAAGGATACATTTAAATATGGAAGGAAATATATTTCTAAATGCAAATCATTTAGAAATAAAATCATCAGTATGTGCTTACGTGTGTATGTGTGTAATGCTGTAGCAACATGGGGCGCCTTTTGTTTTAAATATTCTGAAATTATGTTTCTAGATTTAAAAAGATTCTTCTCCCATCCGATAAAAATTATCTTAAATTAGAACAGAAGCAGATGTAATGGGATAGATTTCCTCTCTAAAACTGCTGACAGGGGAAATTAATCTCAAAGGTTTCTTTCTGTCTCCCTTTATAGGGAACTGCATATAATTATCTGCAACGAAATGCACACACAGACACGGCGGCCCCCAATGCATGCAGTGCGTGTCACTGAGCAGATTCAGTCCCAGCACCTGTAACACAGCAAACCGTTCACCTGAAGAGGCACACGTCTGGAGTTTCAGGGAGAGTGTAAGCACATCCGAGGGATTTTCAGCTCCCCCAACTCTTCTTACTTTCCCACTTGCCCCCCATCCACTGAAACATCTCATTGCGCAGCTGGAGCAAAACTGTCATAAAGAATGACAGATGATTTTTTTTCCCCTTTAAAGGCAAGCCTGGGCAATTGAGTTTTAGAGGAGATGATCAATGAGAGAGGAGTGTCTGGCAAGCTTATGAGATGTCTGCGAACACCATGCTCTGCTTAATTCAGCACCCCCTCCCTTTTCTGAGCAGTGAACACACACAGAGGTTTGGTTTCTAAGGAATGGCCCTACCTCTGGCATCTATGCTTCTGTTTTAATTGCAGAGCCGCATAATTTTATGCGGAAATTTAGTCTTTATAATTGGTGATAGAGATGATTGCTAATGAGGCAAAACTCAAGTAGAAGCCCCAGATAATTTGCACTGTATAACAGATTCTGCTTCCAAACAGCTGCCTCATTTTGCCCCATTCAAATTACCAATTGTCAGGAGGTGCTTATGGATGTTGTGTACGCGACATGTGTTCACTTCCTAAGCTCTACCCTCTTGATTCTTCCTCTCCCCCTTATTTTAAATAAAAGATGTCAAACATACTGAAAATAATAAAGTAATGAATGCTTATTTACTCTTGCTGTCTTTATTTAACAAAGCAACGTTTTGCCATCTTGCTGAAATCTGTTTTTTTTTTTAAATGCTGCAGATAAAAGTTGAATCCTCCTTTGTATCCTTCATTAGTCCTCTCTGTCTCTCTCCAGATGTAATCATTGCCCTCAAGTGGGAACCATTTCCATTCATACATTTATCTTTGTATTATAGATATTAGACACTCATTATCTAAAAATAACATAGCATTTTATGTTTTTAAATATTTCTTAAATTTTATCACACTATTCATATGTTTTTGTAATTTGCCTTTTTCTTTTAACATTTTTTAAAAATACCCTTGTTGGGATCCCTGGGTGGCGCAGCGGTTTGGCGCCTGCCTTTGGCCCAGGGCGCGATCCTGGAGACCCGGGATCGAATCCCACGTCGGGCTCCCGGTGCATGGAGCCTGCTTCTCCCTCTGCCTGTGTCTCTGCCTCTCTCTCTCTCTCTCTCTCTCTCTCTCTGTGACTATCATAAATAAATTAAAAAAAAAACTAAAAATACTCTTGTTGATTAATGTTGCCCTATTTTTTTAAAAAAAGATTTTGTTTATTTATTCATGGGAGACACACAGAGAGAGGTGCAGAGACATAGGCAGAGGGAGAAGCAGGCTCCCTGAGGGATCCCAGGACCCCAGGATCATGACCTGAGCTGAAGGCAGAGGTTCAACCACTGAGCCACCCAGGTGCCCCTCTAATTCGTTATAATTGCTACCTATCTCACCATATGAATATACAATTATTTGTCCATTTTCTTAATAATAAGTGTTATGATTTTTTCTCTTATAAATTGCGCTGCAATGAAATTTGCACATACCTGCTTTTGCACATGTGCGAGAATTTTTCTAAGATATACAACTGGAGATAGAATTGTTCCATTATAGGTTAGCTGCTTCTTAAAATTTGCTAGAGTGTGAAATTGCTCTCCAAAATCGTGCTAGCTTGCCGTCCTATCAAAGAGTGTGAGAATTTTCCCAAGAAGTTGTATTCTCAGACACCTTACATTTTTGTAATTTATGGGATGAAAATGCTCTTTAAATGGGGTTTGGATTTGCATGACTGATTACTAGTGGAGGTGAGTATTCTTTCCTGTTTATTAGCTCTTCTCTGAATTATCTGGGCATATCATTTATCGTTTTTCAACTAAATTATTTCCCATTCTTCTTTGATTTTAGGAATTCTTCACATATTCTCCATACTATTTTTTTTTTGTCTACAATTGTCTTAGGGAACACTGGGAAGACATAAAAGTAAATTAACCCAAATGAGAATGATATTCACTAGGCCCACCAACCAAATTCAAAATGTCCTTCAAATTTAAAATCAGTATGGCCTTGGCAAATTCAAACCAAAAACTACTCTTTCTGTTATATACATAAGCATATTCTCCACTTTGTTTCCTAAGTTTCTGTTTTTCACCAAATGATTGTTTCTGACAAGATCATTTTTTCAATATACATAAAGCAAAACCTGAGGAGCTAACTTATTTCCATAATCACAAATGAGGCCTGCAGAAGGAAAAAAAAAAAAAAAAAAAAAAGAATACCTGTGTCTCCCAAGCTCAAGTGAAAACTCAGATTTCAAAGGTAAGAATTGTAACAAAAATTTAATGCATTAAGGTATGTGTTCTATGTGTATATGTAATTACACATATTATTAGTTTATAGTAAACCAGTAAACTGTCATCTGTATCCAGAAACTGCTATGTAATTTGTGGGTCCCCATGCAAAATAGAAATATAGGACCCCTTGTTCAAAATCAATGAAAGCTTCGATACAGGCATTCCTTGGGGATATCGTGGGTTTAGGTCCAGGTCACTACAATAGAGCGAATATTGCAATAAAGTAAGTCAAATGAATTTTTTGGTTTCCTGGTGCATACAAAGTTATGTTTATACTATGCTATAGTCTACTAAGTGCAATAGCACTATGCCTAAAAAATATCTACACCTTCATTTAACAAATGCTTTGCTGTGAAAAAGAAATGCTGGCCATCATCTGAGTTTTCAGTGAGCCCTAATCTTTTTGCTGGTAGAGCATCTTGCCTCCATGTGGATGGCTGCTCACTGATCAGGGTGGTGGTTGCTGAAAGCTGGGGTGGTTGGGGCAGTTTCTTAAAATAAGATGACAGAGAAGGTGGCTGCACCAACTGGCTCTTCCTTTCATGAATGATTTCTTGTATCCTGTGATGCTGTTTAATAGCATTTTACTCACAGTAGAACTTTTTAAAAAATTAAAGTCAGTCTTCTCAAACCCTGCTGTGGCTTTATCAACTAAATTCATGTAATATTCTGAATCCTTTGTTGTCATTTCAACAGTCCTTACAGTATCTTCACCAGGAGTAGTTTCCATTTCAAGAAACTCTTTTCTCTATTCGTTCATCAGAAGCAATTTCTTACCCATTCAAGTTCATGAGATCAGAGCAATGCAGTCACATCTCCAGGCTCTGCTTCTGATTGTTGTTCTCCTGCCATTTCTACTGCATTTGCAGTCACTTCTTCCACTGAGATCTCGAATGCTTCAAAATCACTCATGATGGTTGAAATTAACTTCTCCCGAATTCCTGTTAATGATATTTTGACATCTTCTCATGAATCACAAATGTTCTTAATGGTATTTAGAATGGTTAATTTTTTTCCTGAAGGTTTTCAATTGGCTCACCCAGAAACACCAGGGGAATCACTATCTATGGTAGCTATAGCCTTATGAAATACATTTTTAAACAGTAAAATTTGAAATTCAGAACTACTTACTCCTTGACCCATGAGCTGCAGAATGGATGCCATGTGAACAGGCATGAAAACAGCATGAATCCCATCCACCTCCATCAGAGCTCTTGGGTGACCAGAGCATTGTAAATGAGCAGTCATATTTTGAGTCCTTGAGTTTGGGTCTGAGCAGTAGGTCCCAGTAGCGGGCTTAAGACATTCTGTAAACCATGTTGTAAACAGATGTCCTGCCATCCAGGCTTTGTTGTTCCACTGATAGAGTCCAGGCAGTATAGATTTAGCATAATTCTTAAAAGCCTTAAGATTTTCAGAATGGTAAATGAGCACTGGCTTCAACTTAAAGTCACCAACTATGTTAGCCTCTAGCAAGAGAGCTGGCCTCTCCTTTGAAGCTGTGAAGCCAGGCATTGACTTCTCCTTTCTAGCCATGAAAGTCCTAGACCGCATCTTCTTCCAATAAAAGGCTCTTTCATCTATACTGAAAATAAATTGTTTAGCATAGCCACTTTCAATATTTTAACTAGATCTTCTGGGTAACTCTCTACAGCTTCTACATCAGCATTTGCTCCTTGACCTTGCATTTTTATGTTATGAAGATGGCTTCTTTTCTTAAACCTCATGAACCAACTGCTGCTAGCTTCCAACTTTTCTTCTATAGCTTCCCCACCTCTCAGCCTTCATAGAATTGAAGACAGTTAGGGCCTTGCTCTGGATTAGGCTTTGGCTGAAGGGAATTTTGTGGCTGCTTTGATCTTTTATCCAGACCACTAAAGCTTTCTCGGTATCAGCAACAAGCTGTTTCATTTTCATATCATCCATGTGCTCACTGGAGTAGCACTTTTAATTTCCTTCAAGAACTTCTCCTTTGCATTCCCGATTTGGCTGTTTGGCCCTAGAGACCTAGCTTTCAGCTTGTCTCAGGTTTCAACATGCCTTCCTCACTAAGCTTAATCATTTCTAGCTTTTGATTTAAAGTTAGAGACGTGCAACTCTTTCTTTCAGTTGAACACTTAGAGGCCACTGTGGGGTTTTAATTGGTCTCCAGGGAATGGGAAGGCCCAAGGAGGGAGGGAGGGAGAGAGAGAGAGAGAGAGAGAGAGAGAGAGAGAGAGAGAAAGATGGCTGGTCTGAGGTGCCATCTAACACATGCAATGTTTACTGATGAAGTCTGTTATTTTATATGGGCATGGTCTGTTTTACCCCAAAACGATTACAGTAGTAACATCAAAGATCACTGATCAGAGATCACTGTAAAAATAGAATAATAATGAACATGTTTGAAATATTGTGAGAATTACCAAAATGTGACACAGAGCCACAAACTGAGCACATGCTGGTTGCAAATCCTGGGAAAATGACTCTGATGGATTTGCTTGATGCAAGGTTGTCACAAACCTTCAGTTTGTGAAAAATGCAGCATCTGCAAAGCACAATAAAGCAAAGAACAATACAACTAGGTGTGCCTGTATAGGTGATAGCAGAGCAGTGAACCAAGCATAGGG